AATTCTCACCAAAATGTTTTTGTACGCTTGTAAACGATATAATGAGCTGTCACTGAATTATTTTAATGGCTGTTGGATGAGTGGCTTAGAAATGATAGCAGTCTGAAGTTGGTTGCAGTTTTTTCATCTCACCCTGAGCATGTAAGCGTATCTCTTCAGATATTCGGCATTTTGTTGATTTGTGTCACAGTTTTTAACGGAATTATTTTAAATTTTGTATTTAGAGTTCGCAAAGGATATTACCTGCTATAAGAGAACATTTCCTGTACATATCCACGCCTTTGTATAACTCCCATATAACTGTCTCTCTCTCGCGCACGCTCTCTTTCTCTCTCTATTTTCGGTATTTTAACGAATTCAGTTTTCACCAGAATTGTTCCATATTTGGAATTTGGAGTTCACAGTGGTTACTGCTTCCTATGACAGAAAATTGTCCATACGAATTAATATCCTCCTAATATTCGCTATTTCGACGATTTTAGCTAATTTTTTTCAACAGAATTATCTCAAACTTGGTGTTTGGAGTTCGTAGATGGCACCGTCTTTTCTGACCGCATAACTGTAGCAACAGATAATCGGAATTTTAAAAATTATAGTGGCATATTTCGTTAGAATTTGTCCATTTCCTTCCAAATAGCAAAGGGTATTAAAGGTTCTTCGCAACCGAACTAGGTTATTTTCAGGGGTGCTCAAAACCGTGTTCTAGAACATGAAGAGAAAAAAGAGATAATTGAAGAAAAAATTAAAATTCTGTTTTTCTTTATATTTTACGGTTCTATTTAATTGTTTTTAAACACGAATGTTTGCAAAATAATTTTTAAAGCAAATGGATAAAAAATATTTGTATAAATAATGACTTAACACTGTTTTTTTCTTGATTTAAATAAGCAAAGATAAATTTGACTGAAAAGAGATATTTCTTCTTGAGCACCGCTGTTATTTTATACTTGTCTGTATCTTAAATATTTTAGACACAATATAGAGTCAAATATCGGTTCCGTCCAATTTTTTTCGCTTGCAGATCTCAGCTTCATTTTCGACTTTAGTGGCTGTAATTCCCAAATGTGTGTGTCTTTTTAAGAATATTTGTAAGGATCTACAATATATTTTTTTGGATTTTTGTTTCAAGGAGCAACAAACCAATGTGCCTGATTTTTGAATTTTTTTAAGAATATTTTTTTTTTTTCAAAGCTGAATCCAAACTTTGCAAAGTTTTTAAATTTTAATGTAGCTTTTGCAGGGAGAAATTTTTCCTATTACCAGCCCGAAATTTCAGAGACAAAATGTTTCTTTTAGTATTACCATTTCTTTCCGATTTTTTTCTGATAGGCATATTTTTTTGATTATGTCGCAGTGCGATCAAAATTTGTTTACTGGAATAGAGTTTTCCACTCCAATATTAGATGGACAATACGTTGATGCATTTTCAAAATGTTTAAAGTCCCTCATCCTTTAAAGTACAGTCCACCCGCTGCGAACATCATTTTATTTATTTTTTTCTTAATAAATTTGTAAATCTGCTCTCTCCCCCAATTCAAATTATCTATTTTACCCACCTGACATCATCGATAAGTAAAAACAAATTAAACGGAAAAAGATTTTGTCAAGCACAAAAGAACAACAACAAAATACCGAAATTAGCAAGAAACAGAAACGATAATATATGAAATATATTGTTCGCGTTTTTTTGTTGCTATTGTTGTATTTCAATTCCAAGAATACGATTAAAAAAGTTGTAGCTACGTATTGCTTGTGTCCGTCCGTCTGTCTTTTCATCTGTCTCTCGTTGTCCCGGTAGTGCTGCTGGCCATCACGTTCTCTTGTTAATCCAAAGTCATATGGCCACTAATTTTTTCTGGCACAGACTCGAATTATAGACAGGCTACCCTGCGGCCACCTCGAAGGCGATGGTGGTGGGTGTTTGTTGAACGCATTGACGCACAGTCAGACATAATGGCGTCGTTTTTTGTTATCATTTCACTTTCGATCCAGTTTGATTCTTGCCAAAATCTGCTGCTTCTCTCAACACTGATTATTGGCTAGTACGTAATGTTGTTTCTTTTTTTTTTTTTGCTCTGGTGGTCGATCATCTTTGGCGGTCGGTTCCGTTTCTATAACAAACCCATTAACATGATCAGTTTGGCTCACTTGTATATTGACGTTGCGTATTTTTTGAGGTGTGTTCTGTTCTACTCTGATTTATTTATGGTGTCTATTTCCCAGCTTTTGGAAAAGTGCTTTTCAGTTGTTGTTCTTGTTGTTTTGTTTTTTTTTTTGGTGTTCATTTGCGGCATCTTCATAAATCATTTGCCATTTTGCTTACTTAGCGATATGTTCGTATGTGTATGAGTCTTTGGATTATTAATGACTTATAGATGTCCAAACTTATTTTTTCTAGTAACTAATCTGTTTGACTGATCAAAAACGAACGACCTCCTTTTTTGTGGTTATATGTGGTTGGGACATTTTCCAAACAATCGACTTGCGACAGTCACGAATATGTCAATAGCAGCCAATTAAAAATGACATTTTATAAAAGTGAAAATAAAATGGAAACCCTTCATTAATAATATGGTTTTTCTTTTCAATTTCAAATAATGGCATGGCATGGCTGCTGGAGATGCCATTTTTGACAAATGATGTTTGTTTGGGTTCGAAATTTGAAAAAAAGTGGGTTAACCACCGAATAAGAAGACGGCCTATTTGGGACATGGCCATTTTTATTAATTAATAAAACATAGAAAACAAGAGGTTTTTTTTCCAAATTTTGCTGCGACAATGCAACGCCATGGTCAACGTTTTGACCATCTAATACAGATATAAATATTGACATGGGCAAAATTTTGAATATATCTAATTTTATACGAAATCATAAATGTCGATAAATTCCATTTTCATAACAGATTTCTTGTTAAGAGAAGTATTTAGATATAGCAAGTTGTAAAGAATCGCCGACTTGTTTCGCAAGTTATAGCAGATAAAGGTATTGGAACTTGTGACCTTTGTGGGTGAGGTACCAGAAGGGGTTGGCAGATTTTGCTTTGGCAAAATATTTGGATGTGTAAAATTTGAAGAGAGTTGAATGCTGTTTTTGAGCGTTTTGTTTTTCAAAATCTTGAACCCTTTGCGGGGGAGGCACCAGAAGAAATGATCCGATCTCTAACATCTTTATAACAGATTTTATGTTGATGGAAATATTGAGATGTACCAAGTCTGAATGGAATCGGATGTTAATTTCGTGTTGACCCTTTGTGGGGGAGGTACCAGAAGGAGTGGACCGATATATTCCATCTTCACAGCAGATCTTGTGTTAGTAGAAATAAAGGGATGTGTGAAATATGAAGAGAACTGGATGCTTACTTCCGATTTTATGTTTGTTTTTGTTATTCAAAATTTTGACCCTTTGTGGGGGAGGTGCCAGAAGGATTGTTCCGATCTCTACCATTTTTATAACAGATCTTGTGTTGATGGAAATATTGAGATGTACCAAGTCTGAATATAATCGGATGTTAATTTCTCGTTTTATGAGCTTCTTTGGTTCTCAAAATGTTGACCCTTTGTGGGGGAGGTACTAGAAGGAGTGGACAGATATATACCATTTTCACAGCAGATCTTGTCTTGATCGTGGAAATAATAGGATGTGCGAAATATGAAGGGGACCGAATGCTTATTTCGGATTTTATGTTTGTTTTTGTTATTTAAAACTTTAACCCTTTGTGGCGGAGGTACCAAAAGGAATTTACCGACATATTTCATCTTCACACCAGACCTTGGGTTTATAAAAATAGGGTTATGTGTGTAATTTGAAGGCAATCGAACTCTTGCATCACATTTTATAAGGGTTAGAATTATTCGAAATGTTGACCTTTTGTGAGGGAGGTACTTGATGGAGTGGACCCATACTGTCCATTGTCGTACCTGGTCTAGCACTGATGCAAATATTAGGATTCGCAATGTTGGAGCAAAATCGGATTATCCTTTCTCTTTCTGTGCAGTAAATTTTTTTGTCTGTTTGAAAATTTCGATATTTTATGGGGGAGGTAGGTGTGGACCGATATATTCCGTCTTATATATTAATAAAAATATTGTGATGCGTGTAATTTAAAGACAATCGGACTCTTACATCACATTTTATAAGAGTTATAATTATTCAAAAGTTTGACCCTTTGTGGAGGAGGTACTTGATGAAGTGGACCGATATTGTCCATTTTCGCACCTGATGCAACTATTGGAATTTACAAAGATGAAGCAAAATCGGATTATTCTTTCTCTTTCTGTGCAGTAAATTGTTTTCTTTGAAAATTTTGACCTTTTGTGCGGAAGGTACCAGAAGGAGTGGACCGATATTGCCCATCTACGAACTCGATCTAAGTTTGTAAGTTGGACCAAATATGATACTCTCTTCGATAGTTATCGTTCGCATCGCTAGATCGATTCCAAATGTCCTGAAGCGGACTTGGTTCAAAAAGACCTAGGGTCTAAAACAGTTTTTTCGACGAGGCACGTTTTGGCCGATCTAGCCATATGGCTGAGGGTATAGAAATAATCATACAAAAGCCAATCTTATGAATTTCGATTTCATCTAAATGAAAAAAAAAAAACTTCCGATTTTTTTCTCAGAATTTTTGTATAGCAACAGAGTAGCAGAAATTAATCATATTTTCTATGCTTCGGACATCTGGCATTTTCTGCGTTATGTTCAGTTTCCAAAAACATAGGAGCAATAAATTTCGTTCTTTTATTTTTGGAAAACTGATTTTTTTTTAAATTGGTCATAATTTTTTGCCGTTGACTAGCACTTAATTAAAAGGCGAAAAGAAACACCGACAAAACTAAAAAAGGCGTGATCATAAACATGACGATGATGATGAACATTATCATTCACACACTCGCACACACGCTTGCACTCACTCACCTACCGCACTCGCACTCTCTCTCGCCCGCCTTTACACTTGACAACTAAAAATACTAATTGTGTGATTTCCATTTCGTTTTTCTAGAAAAACGCTCATTTTCATTCCGTTTGAGGAGATCTCGAGCTGGCGATGGAGGCAGCACAAATTCACGCAACAGCAACAACAACAGCAGCACCTGTACGAACAACAATCGCTGCAACTCGCCACAGACACCGACCAGCACCAGCATGAAGTTGGAAGTGCCCAACTCCAATGCATCGGTCAGTCGCCGCAGCAGCATCTATCGTAAGCCGGACAAGGATGACAGCGGCTTGATTCACATCATCCGTGACATAGACTTGCCTTTGATGTCGTTCACCGATCAATACAATATCGAGAAGGTGTTGGCCGAGGGCTGTTTCGCCAAGATTTTGCTGACCACACACCGACCCACCCAGACCAAGGTGGTGCTGAAAGCTGTACATGCCGAACTGACCACCATTCAGGAGTTTCAAAAAGAGTTCCACTTCAACTATGAACTGTCACACCAAAGGAATATCCTGAGTGCCTATAATGTGGCCTTCCAGACAAAGGACTATTATGTCTTTGCCATGGAACATGCACCCTATGGTGACTTGGCCTCGAACCTTGGGCCAAACGGTTTACATGAGAATGCCGCCAAGACCATTACCGAACAGCTGAGTTCTGCCCTGTCCTTTATGCACTCCAAAAATTTGGTGCACCGTGATCTGAAGTTGGAAAATGTTTTGGTATTCACCCCCGACTTTTCACGGGTCAAGCTGTGTGATTTTGGTGCCACCACCAAGAAGGGTACTTTGGTGCATAAGGTGAAACATACCTGGACCAGTTTTGTGCCGCCCGAAATTTTGGAAATTGTCAAAAATGAAAGATTCCATTGTCTGCCCTGCAGTGACTCTTGGCAGTTTGGTATTCTGCTGTATCACATTTTGACCGGCAGTCCTCCGTGGAATGCAGCCAACTGGGTTAAGGATGCCAACTATTGCAACTTCATGAAATACGAACAAAGAAAGACCACCAAGATTCCAGACAACTTCCGAAGATTTTCACCACGTTTAATGCGTTGTTTCCGCAAATATTTGTCCCATGATCCGGAAGATCGTTGCAAGGTAACAGAGGTTACGAAATACATGAAAGATCGCTGGGTTGAATGCCGGGTGGCCACATCCAAGTCTGCCATTCTAGTGGCTCCCACACCGGATCAGGATTCCTGCATTTATCTCAACCAAAGGGAGGCACGTAAATCTCAGGAAGATGACAACAAACAACGTCTGCGGCGCATGATGTCCACCTATGGTCTGGACCATAGTCCTGTCGATCAGAATGCAGTGCGCAAGCGTGTCTTGGATTGGTTGGCCACCTGTGATGACAATTTCGACAGAGAAATCGAAAGTCTGGTCATTGTGGATACGCCGACGCAGTGAACTCGCTGCTGGCAGAGAGCTGGAGAGCATGAAAGAGACTTGATTTTATTTTTGTAAGATTGTAAGGCTAGACAACTTTCCTGGTGAAAGACACACATGGCCCAAGGCACAATTATGTCAATTATGACAATATCATTGTTGTTCTTATTGTCGTGTATAACAATTTGTAGGCAAACTGTTATACAGCGACAACAAAAAAATTTGTCGTTTGTAAGCAAAACAAAATGAAAGAAGAAAAGAAAGAAAGAAAACACAAAAACGATTTCTTGAAAGGTGGCAGCAAGTCCCAGAATAAGAAATGAAAAAGAAAGAAAAAAATAATGAACAAAAATACCAAAATAGTGGAAATTCGTATAGGATCAAAAAAATATCAGTATGATGACATTTATACAATAATTACTGTATATTAATGAGACAATGCACTTGTTTACACACACACATGCACTCATACCTTTGTACATAAAAGCTCTTAGATCGCTAGAAGAGAGACTAGTTTGTTCTTAAGTAAATCCAAAGTATTTTATTTATTTTCGGCCCAATAAAATTGTATAAATACAAACCAAATAAATATGATATATAGATAAATATATATATATATATATAAATACATTAATATGAATATTTCGTTATTATTTTATTATTTTTATTCTTTTTTTCATGTATATAACTTTTTTTTATTCTTTCGAATTGGTTGGCTAGAATTCAAAACAATAAAATGAATTCAATAAATGTCAAAGAAATAAAATATAAAAATATATTTTCTTATTTTTAATTGATTTTTATTTGTGTTTGTCGTGGAAAGTTTTTCCGATTTTTTTCTCCGTTGCATTGTTTTGTAGTCGTTTTGTTTTGATATCTGTTTCTGTTTTTTTTTTTCGTTCCAAGTTTCGTTTTGGCTATATTTAACCCAGTCAAGGTGACCAACCTGTGCAGGTACAGAACCTTGACCCACTAGATGTCACGATTTAGGGTAGTGATTCGGAATTTGATTTGTACATATGTACGAGTATGCTTTTATAAAAAAGTATACAAAATTATTTATGTTGTATGTCGGATTTTTTTAACGATTTATATTAGTAATCTCCTGCTAGCTTGACCTTCACTAAAAAGATCTGTAGGCATATAAAAGATACGAGAAATATTTCTATACAGTCTATTAAATTTTCAACGTGCTATAAAAGGAACAGACGTGTTAGTTATGCACCTCAGTTGAGCTAGGAACTTTTTCCTATTGTACAGGAATTTGGATATCTTTGCATCACTACTAGAGGCCAATAAATTTAATTCATTTTCGATTCGGACTTTGATTGGCCGGCAAAGTATGAATTATTGTTCCTATCAAACCTTCTGCCTATATATAATAGTTATTCTGCTTGAAAATACTCTACCAAAGATCTTACTACAATACACCTACAAAAGGACATAAAATTTGAAAAAAGCCCCTGTCTTTAAAATGTAATTGTTCAAGTATGGAAGGCCTACAAAAGTCTTTTATATTTAGTACACATTAAAGATCTCTTAACGGTAGATCTCCTACATAAGATCCATAGAAGGTGAACGACTTATAAGGTTGTTATAACCTACACCACACGGTGGTACAGGGTAATATGTCTTGGCGCATTTGTTTGTAACATGCAGAAGGAAAACAAAATAGATCTATCAGGCATGTCACAGAATGTAAAATCGTTCAAGAGTGAAAACGAAAACGGTTTTAGCTTCTCTAAAAAACGGAAAACGCAAAAATTTTGCGTTTTGATATCACTTTCAAAAAGCAGGGTGAAATTGAAATGTTTAGTGATTTTAACGTAAAAAATAAACAGAAGACACATACATTTTACAGAAAATATTGTATTAACCAAATTCTCTTAGAATGAACATGTTTTTGGAATTTATTTTACAAAAAATCTATTATTTTTCTAATCCATGATGAAAAATAATAAAAAGGACTTGCGAGGAACTGGTGGTGGTGATATCAATCAATATGTTTTCAGTGAACACGAGAACAGTTTAATCAGAATTTGCGGATTGTATAAAAGTGTCGATGGAGTTGGTGGTGCAGTAAGCTTTGCGGATTTTGTAAGTGAATTAGACCTCAGTTGTTCTGAAAAAGAGAACTTTGATTCGTCATCATCTACACATATTCCAAGAACTCGAAAATCAAGTCAATTAGTTTTAAGTGAATCTGAAAACGAAGAGCCTAATTTTTCACCCTCAACTTCAAGCAGACCACTTCGATTTTAAATAAAAAAGATAGACCAAGATCATGCATTCCAGCTGCTTTTAAAAATGTTTCTACATTGGCAATAGATCCAAGAACACCAACATTGGAAGAAAACCGTTCGCGAACACCTATTCAAAAACGACTTAGAAATAAAAGCTTATCGTGTTCTCCGCCATCTACACCAATAAGACAAGTGTCGGGCAGCCTAACAAAAGCAAAACCCACGCCTGCAGTAAAAAGACCCCGGGCAAGAACTCCCTCAAAGCAAGATCTAAATGCGCTTTTAGTTGAGGAAAATTCTCATTTACAAAACTTGGAAAAAATTTGTAAAATTCTAGAAGATAACAGTAAGGAAATGAAAAAACAAACTGAAAAGTTGGACAGACTTTGTAACATCCTGGAAAAAAAGTATGTGGAAGAGCAGTTATTGAAATGCAAAAGAGAATGCGTGAACGGAACGAAATGAAACTCAAAATAGTTGAACTTGGAACTCTTAAATATGCTGTAGAACAGGAAAAAGCAAATACGACTCGTTCTTAACTTTACATTATTTTACACAATGAACTAAAAATGGTGGATCCTTACTCTGCATTTGAGTGAGATAAAGGATCTGATGCGTTCCTCAATGTCCGGCGACGAATTTTTTCAGTAGACCGCTGATTTATTTCTTCATCCATTACAGCAAGTATTGAAGCCCCTGGCATTTTTACTTTTGGTGTTTATATTATAAAAAACAATTTAAACTCTTTTTTTAATTGTCAATAATTTGTTTACGACTTTTTTTGCATGGAGTTACCATATTTTTATTTCAAAAATGTGAAATTATTTTTTTTTTCGGTTTAGTCAAAACGTACGAGTGCTGAAGAAGCAAAATCAAATCGTAACGATTTGGAAAAGGTGAAATAAATCGATTTCGTAAAACTTCTGTGACATGCCTGTATATTTCCTTTTGATGATCTTCTAGAAACACATTCTGAGTCGATTTCTGCCCGTAAATAAAGTACAGTTTGCATTTATTGTCCGATTGGCATGAAATACCTTGAAATTGGTGAAAATCGGTCCAAATCTATATATAGTTGTCATATATATGTTCGTCCGATTTTAATTTCATTGTCCAAATTGGATGGATTTCGTTACATCCGACCGAATTCAGCCTGGAAGAAGGTACTTAAAAGTTTGGGGGATTCGGTTAAGATATGGCTATAGCTTCCATACATATGTTTCATTCGATTTGGTGTTATATATTCGTCATCTACACTCCAATACAATAATATTTGATACCAGATTGAGCTCAGGGTTTGATTTAGGTCCCATATATATCTTTATCCGATTTTAGGTTAATTGTATACCAAACGGTAATATTAGCCCAAGTTGGGTGGATTTTTCATCCTAGAAGTAAGTACTTTCAATTTGCTGAAAATTGGCTATAGCTCTCACATATTTGTTTCATCCGATTTGGTGTTTAAGTCCCTCATTTTAGTAATATGTCCTCTTCAACAGAGATAATTGGTATCAGATACTAAATACAGCTCAGAGATACCTCTGTCAATTTTTATCGAGATCGGTACAGATTTAGATGTAGCTTCCATATACATCTTCGTTTGATTTCAAATATGTAATATCAGTCCAGATTGGATGAATTTTTGATCAATTAACCGGTTTTTTCCTTTTGGTAAAACTCGGATCCCATATATCTATTGCTCCAACAAATATATATTTTATACCCTCCACCACACATAGTATGGAGGGTATATTAAATTCCGTCTCTAACTCATCGAAATAATAATTGTAGACCCTGCAAAGTATATGTATTCCCGATTAGCGTAAAATTTTGAGACGATCTAGACCTGTCCGTCAGTCAGTCTGTCCGTATGTTGTACTCACGCTAGAGTCAAAACGAATAAAGATAGGGAGATAAAATTTTGCACATATCAATCTTTTGTTTGCAGGCAGAAGATGGGCTATATCAGTCAACGATATCGTATAGCCCCCATAACGATATTCGGTATTTTGACGATTGTAACCAAATCTTTCAATAAGATTGTCTAAAAATCCATACTAAAAATCTTCCTAAATACTTTACCCTCTGGAAGATAATTGTCGAATAGGTCCACGATAATGTATATTCCCGATATTCGGTATTTTCATGAGCCACATGTTTTTCAGCCACATTTTTGAATGGAATTGTCTCAAAATCCAAACAAGCCGTTCCTTCTGAGTACTTTACTACCTGGAAGAGTATTGACCACATCGGTCCACGATATCGTACAGCCCTCATATAACTGTACCCCCATATTCGGTATTTTGATTATTTTATCAACATTTTTTAATGGAATTGTTTAAAAATCCATACTAAAAGATCTATATTCGAGATTTAGACGATTTTAGGGACATTATTCATTGGAGTTGTTTCAAATTTCGTATTTAGAATTCGTAATGGGAACTACAGTCTATGACAGAAATTTGTTTGTGCAGGCCCACATCTTCGTATAGCCTTCATATAACGGTACCTCCCGATATTCGGTATTTTGATGATTTTAGCTACATTATTCACCGGAATTGTTTCAAATTTGCTATTTATTTATATCAGTACCTCCCTATATTCGGTATTTTGACGATTTTAGGTACAATACTCACCGAAATGTTTTGAGATGTCGTATTTGAGGTTCGTAATGGATGCTACAGCCTGTGACAGAAAATTATCTATGCAGGTCCAGGCCTTCGTACAGTACCTATATAATGGTACCTCGCTATATTCGGTATTTTGGTGATTTTAGGTACATTATTCACCGGATTTTTTCAAATTTCGTATTTGATTATTGTAATGACAAAAGTTTCCTATGCAGGTCCACGTCTTCGTATAGACCCCAATATAAAGGCTATATTTTTAAAATTTTAACAGAATTATTTTTTTTTTAATGTCCAAATTCGTTCCAAATGGATCAGTTTATTCAAAGTTCGGTCGGGCCGAATTCAGCTACATTTTTCACCGGATTTTTTTTTCAAGTTTCGTATTTGAATTTTGTAATGGCTTATGACAAAAATTGTCTATACTTGTCCACATTATGGTAAAGACTGCAATATAACGACCATTATCGATACTTTTAAGATTTTAACAATTTTTTTTTACTAAATTTATTTGTATTTGAAAATTTCCAAATTCTGTGCTAAAAATCAAATGGATATCCTAGTAATTGCCAAAATCTTAAATATTTTATATAAATTATAACAATTAGTAAATTACATGAAAAACAGATAATTTATCAACATTATCTATAATTATTAGAAATAAGTACAATATATTGTATAATGCTGATTG